ACAAAATGTGACCAATGAAAAATATAAATTGTGGACAAAAAATAATTTGTAATCTAAAAAATTGTTAATTTGTTATCGATAATTTGACAATTTGTGACTGTCTACTAATTGTGACTTATAATGTTTGTGATTTGTGACCAATGAATAAGTTGTGACGTTTCAATTCATTTATTTGTGACCGATGAAAAAATTGTGACTTATAAAATTTCTGAATTGTGATCATAAAATAATTTGTGACCTATAAAATTTCTGATTTGTTTCCGATAAACAAATTGTGATATAAAAGTTTTGAATTGTGACCGTAAAATAATTTGTGAGTTTCAATTTTTTTTTTTGTGACCGACAAACAAATTGTGACCTATAAATTTTTTGAATTGTGACCGTAAAATAATTTGTGACATGTAAAATTTGTGATTAAGTAATAATATGTGACCAATTATATAGAATTTGTAACCAAATTAAATAGAATTGTGACTTGAATATATTTAATTAATAAAATATATCTTTAATTTATTTATTTATAAAAAAAAAATTTAATTTTATCTCTTAAATTTGAAATGGGTAAAACTAAACCTATTATGAAAATTTCCCAAGATTTTTTTTGTAAACTCACATAAAAAAAAAGAATTATTGAACTAGTTTATATTATATTTAAATAATTAAATCGCAGGACCGGTAAATTCAAATAAGGTCACCAACATTACTGGAAAAGAAATCGTGATTCTACTTTTTAATTTGACAAATTTGAAGGCATAGACTAGTTTGTTGCGATAAATTTTAAGAACATCTCGTGTTAAAAGAATAAATTCTTTTTTTGACATTCAGAAAAGCTTCCTCCACTTCGTAGAGAGCATGTGAATCGAGTTAGGTGTTTATTGTAGCCCGTTGTGCAAGTTTTTCCTTTCCTTTTAAATAGATCTTAGGTTAGAAGATTCATTTTTTGCTTGGTGAATAGGAAGGCAAAGAGAATTTTGGAAAGAGCAAGAAAATTGGCCTAAACTAATAAAAAGTGAAGGTATAAAATAGAATTATCTCATTTACAATCGTTCATTATCGTAATCACTCTACGTGACATACATGTGACAGTTAAAGTTTGATGCATGAAGTAATACATCAAATTATTAACAGCCACATGTATGCCACGTAGCGTGATTAAAGTAATCAGTGAACGACTGCAAATAGCATTATTCTATAATAGAAGCCTTAGTTAAAGTGTTAAACTTGGATTTCATCTCTACACAATAGTGGGATCACCGTCACGTAATTCAAAGAAGTCGAAATACATTTTAATTCATTAGTCAATATGACAATGACCACATTGTCACATACACTAGATATTAACTTTATCAGAGATGAATAGCATTATTTATAACTTTACAATTAGAATAGAGCAAAAAGTTTCCCATTCCATTTGATTTTCAACCTAGGAATGATTTTTTTGTTTCAAATGTTATCCGCCTCTATTAAATTCTTAATTATCTAAATTTTGATTATTATAAATATTTCTGAACATATTTAGATATATTATTATAAGTAAATCCTTCTAAACATGTAAAATCTGAACCCAAAATTTGAGTTGACATGTGCACGACCCCACACATAAGTATGGAACAATCATATTTGGTGTACATCATGATTTACACCATTGTTTACACTTTGTCATGTGATATTACACCATTAAACAGTTTAAAAAGAAAACAGTTTTTCATCCATTTGTTGACAACAACGATAATGTCAATCATGATGTAAATAAAAGAACGTACAAATGTCGTAATCCTTGTTATGGAATAGATAAAGAGGAACTAATGCATGTGATAAGTAAGATTTAAAAGGACAAGGAATGAACTTTTTCATCAAGCATTACAACAAAAATAGGTTTCATTGGATTTAACATTTTCATTACAAGACTTCATGACTTCAGACAGGATGAGCATATCGATGACCAAGCCTCCTGTGCCACAACTTTATGCTAGACTCTGATGTTTTGACACCTTTAGAGAAGAATTCAAGTGTTTGAGTTGACTACAAAGACTAAATATTTAACTTAATTGGGTAATGTTACTCTTGATGGGCAGACTTTTGAACTTGATTTGGATGCTCGGGATTGTCCATATCCATCCTTAAGCTTCCCTATAATCAGCAACTCCTTCATTTGTCTGTCCTTGACAGCACAAAAATTAGAGTGAAACCCCACACATACACCATTATCACATGTTAGTTGAAAAACATTAAGAAGATTTTTCTTGATTGATGGCACAAGCAACGGATTATTAAAAAGCAAGTGATTTGTAATCAAGCCCATGTTTGGTGCCGATTAAAATCAAGTTTAGAATATAAGTAAAAGTCAACAATTCATTTTAACAACATATTGTATGAGTCCCACAATTTTTCAACTACATATTTCATCAACTTCTATCAAAATCTATTAAAAGTCTGATTTTAACTCCCATCAAACATGGGGTAAATGTATTCAAGTATGTGGTGCCAATGTCTAAAATGTTCAGCATATTTCCATCACCAAAAGTAAGCCTTTATGTTATATTCATAAATTACATGGCATGTACATAGCAGAGGGGGTTCCACATTGGCCAACTCGGTATTGATTATTCAATTGGATTGGGCCTATTAAATTAAGAAATCGCATGTTGGGATTGGGCTCGACCCACTAACCCACTATACCAACCAAATAAATCGAACAAAATTGATTATCTCATGTTTTGTCGGCTAACCTTCCAGTTTAGAACTTTGAGTGAAAAGGTTCATCAAGCAGTATTAGAATTGGCAGGACACATTGTAGCAAGTCTCTCAGTCACTTCAGAAAAAGCCATTGACTTAAAAAACCAAGTTGATCTTTTGAGGGTTTGGGTTGATTTTTGCCTTGCTATGAATTGTCACAGCCCAAGAAGTGGCAATATCTAATACCATTACTGCTCCTACGCTATTAAGTCCCCGAGGAAAATTGATCCCTATTACGGCTCCAGCTAAGGCGTGGTTGACCGAGATAGGTAGTTCCATATCTGATGCAAACAGAGCATAGAGTTAGCAAGAAATTCTGCTACAAATACTCTTACTACAAGAAAAACAACATTTCTCAACATTTCCAATTGAGACATTTTGTCAAACATCTTGATGGTATCTTAGAAAATCAAAGGAAATAGTTTGCCATAATTTTGTAGCTAATCCCAAATTTAACGATAAGTTTTTTATGCATTTATACACAACCTCATCTGCTTATACTAAAATTGATTGATTACGTGA